CACTGTCTCATCACTACATCTTCAGTAAAGGTAAGTGTCATTTATTCTTCATTTAGTACACTAGCACATACACAATATATATTGTGCATGTATCCTTCTTTTTGTGTTTAGGAAAATGTATATTTCATGTGGTAAAATTTTTTTTTTTTTCATACTTTTGGGTGTCTTGAACGGATTAATTTGATTTCCATTATTTCTTATGGGGAAAATTAATTCGACTTACGATAATTTCGTCTTACGATGTGCTCTCAGGAACAGATTAATAACCTAAGTCAGGGGTCCACTGTATTTACATTAATTTTTAAGGGAAATATTATTTCGTTTTTTGGCCATTTCAGTTTTAGGCCGACCTTCTGGAATGGATTACAGCTGATAACTGAGGGTCCACTGTATGTGAATGATATGATGGAAGGGATAGACTCAGAGGTGTCCCTGTTTGCAGATGATGTGAAGTTAATGAGAAGAATTAAATCAAATGAAGATCAGGCAGGACTCCAAAGAGACCTGGACAGGCTGGACATGTGGTCCAGAAACTGGCTACTCAAGTTTAACCCAGCCAAATGCAAAGTCACGAAGATCGGGGAAGGGCAAAGAAGGCCGCAGACAGAGTATAAGCTAGGTGGCCAAAGGCTGCAAACCTCACTCAAGGAGAAAGATCTTGGGGTGAGTATAATTCTGAGCACATCTCCGGAAGCACACATCAACCAGATAACTGCTGCAGCATATGAGCGCCTGGTAAATCTGAGAATAGTGTTCCGATACCTCAGTAAGGAATCATTCAAGACACTGTACACCGTGTACATCAGGCCCATACTAAAGTATGCAGCACCAGCTTGGAACCCACACCTGGTCAAGCACGTCAAGAAATTAGAGAAAGTGCAAAGGTTTGCAACAAGGCTAGTTCCAGAGCTAAGGGGACTGTCCTACGAAGAAAGGTTAAGGGAAATACGCCTGACGACACTGGAGGACAGGAGGGTTAGGGGAGACATGATAACGACGTATAAAATATTGCGAGGAATAGATAAGGTGGACAGAGACAGGGTGTTCCAGAGATGGGACAAAGGAACATCGGGTTACAATTGGAAGTTTAAAACTCAGATGAGTCAAAGGGATGTTAGGAAATATTTCTTCAGTCACAGAGTTGTCAGGAAGTCGAATAGCCTGGAAAGTGAGGTAGTGGAGGCAGGAGCCACACACAGTTTTAAGATGAGGTATGATAAAGCTCATGGAGCAGGGAGAGAGAGGACCTAGTAGCGGTCAGTGAAGATGAGGCCAGGAGCTGAGTCTCGACCCCTGCAACCACAAATAGGCGAGTACACACACACACACGCGCATGGACGCACGCATATACAACAAGCCTAGTGTCTAATTGACATGTGCCTAGGACATAATGGTAACACACACACACAAGCATGCACGCATGTGCGCACGCGCACATACATGCACACACACGTGGTAATTCTTTATTTACAGAGAGCAAAGTCGGTATTTTTCCAGAATGGTCTGTAATATACCACTATGGATAAAATACTCTGACATATTTTGAACATTTCTGAGTGAGTTGTCTCTGAATTCATTTTAATTTTATCACACTCCAGTACATAATGACACAGGGTGTGACAATAGTCCATCTGGCAAAGTTTACATTTCATTTGGTCTACATCTGTTTTTGGTGATTTAACCTGCTGAAGATGCTGGTAACCCAGCTGGAGCCGGGCGGTAGTGACATCCAAGAGTCGGCTTATTTTGTTGGATGCACCATAGACATGTGACTCCTCCCGCACGATAGAATGATGATAAATGGACTGACTGGTGTCAGTCTCCCTAAGTCTTAAGTCAATAAAATTCAGATGACGTTCTTCTCGTATTATTGTTCTCAAACTGCTACCTGACAAGCCAAGATTGTAATTTTTCCCCTCTTTGAAAGCATACCACTTAGCAAACCCTGCCCCATACAGTGCATAATGGGAATATAGTTAAATTCTGGCCCTATGTTTGGGTCAAAATAACAACCCTGGGGCATTTTCTAGGGTAGTTTTCATGTTTTTATTGGTTGTTTTTATGCCAACTGATAGGATGAAAGACATCCTAGTGAAATGGACAAGTTTGGGTTCCATTTAAGACAGACAGTGGCCTGAAATAGAAGTCAAACTGGGGAAAAAATGATGGATTTTGGGGACCCTATGCCCCCTCATCTGTTTTAGCTTTTTACAATATCAGCTTTAATTATTGAGATTGCCTAAAACAAGACCAAGCATTCTTGGTCATGGTTTATTAGCTGAGAAATGGTAAAAAAAATTTTTAGTGTGAGGATGAACTCAAACTGGAAGGTAAGTTTTACACAGAAAAGACTTGGAGATGCAGTTAATAAATGAGAACAGTTGCATTAGTGGCTAAAATACCTAGAGTTTTTACTTTGGATTCTGTTTTTAAATGTGAAACTGTTGAAAAAAAATGTACAACTGCCCAAATGATTGAATTCTTAGTGCTTAATAAGGCATTTCTGATGATTGATTAGGCAGTTTCTTTCAAAATGGTCAAAAATTTGGTTAGGTTGAGCACTGAAATAGCTCTACACTAGGCTTCAAAAGGGCAAATGCTGTTGCAGAAAGTTCTCTTTGACTGTGAGCTTTAAAAATTTGTAATTCCGTAAGTATTGCATTAATTTTTTTTTGGGGGGGGGGGGGAGGGGGGGTTTTTGTGCCATACCTTTAGAAAAACATTCTCTACCACTTTAGAATAATTTTTTTTTATTTTCCAAAAAATTCCAACACTTAAGAGGCACTTAGTTTAGTCAGGATGTCATCAAGGACTGTCTGTCTGATTTCCCGCAGCAACTGGTTAGAAAAATTATCAGTAGTATACCTAGGGAATACAGAAGTCATACTTTTTGGCACAAAAAGTGAACTGAAAATGGTAAATACTTTTAATGTACTGTGTAATGGGGAGCCCACCATTTCAGTACCTTCTGTGAAACATCTAGGAATACCCTTTGACACAAGCATGTCAGGAGAAATGATAGTGACCAATGTAGTAGAAACTGGCAAATGCCATATTAAAGTTTCTCTATAAATAGGTACAGTGTCTAATGAGGCTTGGAGGACCTTACGTCTTGATCTTATACAATGTCATGTAGATTATTCTTGTACTTCATGGTACTCTACTCCAACAAAAAGACTGAAAAACAGACTTCAAATTATCCGGAAAATGATGATAAGATTCATCCTGGGCCTGGGTTCATCAGAACAGGCCAGGATGAATTACACCTGGAATTGCTGAATGTTGAAGATAGGGCATTGCAGCTGAATCTAAAATCATATTTATAAAATTGCTCACGAAGTCCAGAATATCTCACTGCAAATTTTTTCAAGGTTAGGAATCAAAACCAGTATGGCACTAGGGAAAGTGAACACAATTTTGCAATATCCACAGTCAGTGGAAAGGCTTTAACCCTTTGACTGTTGCAAGACCCTTTCTGAAACTGTCATTCTATGTCACAAAATTTTTGGAAAAAAAAAAATTATTTTTTCTTATGAAATGATAGAGAATCTTTTCCCGATGGTAATGACACCAAAAGTATGAAATTTGATTGAAAGCTCACAGAATTACACTCCCATGAAGTTAGCGGTCTCGGCGACATGTATGCATCGGCGATTTCGCCGACTTTGAGCCCTGTTTTTGGCCAATTCCGTTATTCCAGTTGACCAAACTCATAGCTATTTCTTTAGAACTCCACTTTTTCTATCAGTTGAGTACAAGAAACCGCCCATTTACCGATTTGAACTATCCAATAAAGTGGTCAGAAATTGGCAATTTGGTCAATTTCATGCAAATTAAAAAAGATGCCAATTTCAAAATAGGGTCCAGAATAAACAATGTAGACATTCTTGGCACTAAAATAACATATCCTCTGTTCATTAGTCACGTCTCTAGGCCTCTCTTATGTTACTATTGCTTTCTATTTTGATTTTTTATTCATACAAAAAATACAAAATTTAGTTATGCAGACTAATGCATTATTGTAAAAATGGTATAAATAATATCAGTGCACTAGTGAAAGAATATTAGACTCCCCAGTTGTGTATTGGACGTGTGGTGTGATTTGCTCACTCCTGAACATTGGTAAAAATCGAACATTTCCGTTACTTTAAGCTCAATTTCAAGGTCATTTTCATCGTGAAACTAATCAAAATCATCTCTATTTCTGTAATATATTTTCCATTTTATCACGTGAGACCATGAAAACGAGAATACAACGATAAATACTATACAAAAATACACCTCAAAGTCAGCGTTTTAATCCAAAAAAACGGTCAGTTTTTGTCTCATTATGCACTGCGTGCTGCAGGATTTTTTTTATGTGGTGCATACTGACCACACAGACTCATTGTCTCACATGAGGGCCTACCAGCTTTCTCCTGCTTGATCTGAAGCCGCTAGAATTTACGCGTATTAATATGTCCGAAACAGTGGCGTGTAAGACGTATATATACGACCAAAACAGTCAAAGGGTTAAACACCTTTCATTATACAGTGATAAATAAATAAATTTCCTGAACATTCCAAAGCCAGGCTTAGCATAAACTAGTTCAAGAAGGCTAAGATGTTCCTAATGAATGAAGCTACAGAAAGGGAGGACAGTGATATCCTGTTAAGTTAACATTTGTGACTCTATTAAGTGGATTTTCTCTGTTGAATGTTCATGTAAACTACTTAGTTTACTTGTTTCTATGTATCTCTTTATTGTAACTGATTTCATACAGTTGATTATTCTATTTGTATGGTAATTGACTGATTTTTACTGTATCTACTAGTTAGGCTGCTAATAGTAAGATATTACAGGGATGCAAAGGAAATAAGTCACTGACTTTTTTGGGGGGGTTATCCTCAGTAATTTACACGTTACCTCGTAAAGCAATTGTAATCACACAACACATGTTAACTGTACTTATATGTAATTGCATTTAAATTAACTTACTTGCATACTTACTCTTCCTCAGAATGCAAACCCCACCTGCTGCTTAACACCCAAGTATATGAGCAGAGGCAGCAGGTGTAAGAAAACACCCAATGTTTCCACCCATGCCCGAGATATTAAACCCCAGCCCTTCAGGGTACAAGTTGAGGCTACTACCGAGCCAGAAATTTAAAACGGCAGTCTTCAAAAATCTACTTAACCTAAATAAAAATTAATTGCTGTAATTATACAGTTCTGGGATGCTGCATAATGTGGTTATATCCAATTCTGATTAATACCAAGTATTTCTCATAGAGTTAACCTATGTGTAATTGTTACCTGGAGTGTACTTGGAGAGGGTTTCAGGGGTCAACGCCCCCACAGCCCGGTCTCTGACCAGGCCTCATGGTGGATCAGGGCCTGATCAATCAGGCTGTCACTGCTGGCTACATGCAACTGTTATATTTAACTTTTCTTTATTTTTTTGTTTGAAAGCTCATGTAATTCATTTTCATGCATTTAATTGCCCCTATTTAATTTTGTATCTCTTTTCATAGTATTTCATTTTCACATGACTGATTAACTCAGTTTATGTTCTTTTTACTGTTAATAATCATGCCTGATTTTTACTGTATCTAATGGTTAGGCTAATAGGTATTACACAGTTGACTAACACCCAGGTACATATTTACTGCTAGGTGAACAGGGACAGCAGGTGTTAGGAAACATACCCAACGTTTCCACCCAAGCTAGAGATTGAACCACAGAAAATTAGTGTGTGAGGCGAGTGAGTTGCTAATTGAGCCATGGGGCACAACAATGGGAATAGGTAAAGCTACAGTAATAATAATAAAAATAATAATCTTTATTTCTACAAGTACATGTACAAGGTGTACAGGCTTAGCTGACATCAGTAAGTTTATGCAGGTATACACAAATACAGTTACATAGATTATCATACGTAGCAGCATGTGTGTAGAGAACCTAGGATAATCCAAAAAAAGACAAAGTGACATTTCCACTGGGGTCCTTGTGATAAGTATTATTTATATTTAAAAGTTAAAAACAGGTAAGTACAGTATCTTAACTATGTAAAAGCAGTTACAATAAAAGATATACTAGGGGAGAGGTAAAATTAGTTAATTTTATTGACATTAAAGATAGGATCAGGTTATAGTACATACATGTATGTTAGATATAAAAGAAATCACTCCCCTCCATTTCTGTAGCCTTATTCCTAAGGCTACAGAAACTGGCTCATGCTATGACATGGGCAGGCAGTCTATTCCACTCTTTTATTGCTGTACAGAAAAAACAAAGTATATGAAGCCTGACCACTGACTCTAAGTGCTGAAAAGTTATTCTCCATTCCCCTAGTTCTATAATTGATTTGGTTCCCAGCTTTAACAATATTGTCAGTAAAATATTGGGGACACTGGTTGTGAGCAATTTTATAAACGTAATTTAATTGCTGCACATACATTAACAAAAAAGCCCACCTGCACTCCTATATACTACCACCAACGGTGTGAGTGTCGACACTATCACACTTAACACCCAAAATAATGTTGCCTTAGAGCAGGTGGTAGTCTTGTGAGTAATTAACATAGGCCGCTTGTACACCACGTACACTACCATCTTTCTTCTTTTCTTTGTTTGTTTGGTTTATCAGGGCCACTGACACCTTACGCCGGGTCGACCCCCGACTTCCCCATGTACAGGGAAATTTGTTGCCCAATGTTGGGAGATGAAAGAAAAAAAGAACAAGCATTCCTTTGTAAATAGGAACATGAACTAGAAATTTCCAATTAGATTAAGTGAACCCCCCTTGTCAAGCCCCAGCAGAGCGGGACGCCCAAATACGCCCCCCCCCACGTAAGTTCAGTAACCGGCTTCTCATCAAAACCGTTAAAGAATTACCCGCAGAGCGAAAAAATGGAACTGGCTAAATGAAAATGTTTATTACCTTGCAAAGCTTACAATGTGTGGTTTACATATTATAAAATATTAATTACAAAGGCCACTAGCATGCCTAGGCATTTCGGGCAGACTAATTCTAATTCTTACTCTATATTAACACAGGTTATATAGCAGTACATTTTAATATAGTAAGTCGACAACAGGTGCTCCTCCTACAATGTGTGTTTGTGTGTATGTGTATGAGTGTGTGAGTGTGTGTGTGTGTGTGTGTGTGTGTGTGTGTGTGTGTGTGTGTGTGTGTGTGTGTGTGTGTGTTGTGTATGAGTTTGTGTATGGTGTGTGTGTGTGTGTGTTTATGTGTGTGTGTGTATGAATTTGTATGTGTGTGTGTGTGTGTGTGTGTGTGAGAGAGAGACTCAGCAATCAACATATGCACCAATAACTCATTACAGTTGTGACGGGTGTGGAAGTGTGAATGCTCATTACTCTAAAATTTGTTCATGATTGCAGCCATGTATAAACGTAAGTAACCATTCTTACAGTGCATGTGCATGTGTGTGTGTGTGTGTGTGTGGTGTGTGTGTGTGTGTGTGTGTGTGTGTGTGGTGTGTGTGTGTGGGTGTGTGTGGGGTGTGTGTGGGGTGTGTGTGTGTGTGTGTGTGTGTGTGTGTGTGTGTGTGTGTGTGTGTGTGTGTGTGTGTGTGCGTGCGTGTGTGTGGTGTGTGTGTGAGGGTGTGTGCGGGTGTGTGTGAGGTGTGTGAGGTGTGTGGGGTGTGTTGTGAGGTGTGTGTGTGTGTGTGTGCGTGTGTGGTGTGTGTGTGCGTGTGTGGGTGTGTGTGTGCGTGTGTGGGTGTGTGTGTGTGTGTGTGTGGGTGTGTGTGTGTGGGTGTGTGTGAGGGTGTGTGTGTGGGTGTGTACTCACCTATTTGTACTCACCTATTTGTGGTTGCACGGGTCGAGTCCTAGCTCCTGGCCCCTCCTCTTCACCGGTTGCTACTAGGCCCTCTCTCTCCCCGCTCCATGAGCTTTATCAAACCTCGTCTTAAAACTGTGTATGGTTCCTGCCTCCACTACGTCATTTTCTAGGCTATTCCACTGCCTTACAACTCTATGACTGAAGAAATACTTCCTACTATCTCTCTGACTCATTTGTGTCTTCAACTTCCAATTGTGGCCTCTTGTTTCTGTGTCCCCTCCCTGGAACACCATGTCTTTGTCCACCTTGTCTATTCCATGCAGTATTTTATATGTCGTTATCATGTCTCCCCTGACCCTCCTGTCCTCCAGTGTGGTCAGGCCGATTTCCCTTAATCTTTCCTCATAGGACATTCCCCTTAGCTCTGGAACTAACCTTGTCGCAAACCTTTGTACTTTCTCTAGTTTCTTGACGTGCTTTATCAAGTGCGGGTTCCAAACAGGTGCTGCATACTCCAGTATGGGCCTGACATACACGGTGTACAGTGTCTTGAATGATTCCTTACTAAGGTATCGGAATGCTGTTCTCAGGTTTGCCAGGCGCCCATATGCTGCAGCAGTTATCTGATTGCTGTGTGCTTCCGGAGACATGCTCGGTGTTATACTCACCCCAAGATCTTTCTCCTTGAGTGAGGTTTGCAGTCTTTGGCCACCTAGCCTATACTCTGTCTGTGGTCTTCTGTGCCCCTCCCCCATCTTCATGACTTTGCATTTGGCAGGATTAAATTCGAGAAGCCATTTGCTGGACCAGGTGTCCAGTCTGTCCAGGTCTCTTTGAAGTCCTGCCTGGTCCTCATCAGATTTAATTCTCCTCATTAACTTCACATCATCTGCAAACAGGGACACTTCTGAGTCTAACCCTTCCGTCATGTCGTTCACATATACCAAAAATAGCACTGGTCCTAGGACCGACCCCTGTGGGACCCCGCTCGTCACAGGTGCCCACTGTGATACATCATTACGTACCATGACTCGTTGTTGCCTCCCTGTCAGGTATTCTCTGATCCATTGCAGTGCCCTTCCTGTTATATGCGCCTGATGCTCTAGCTTCTGCACTAATCTCTTGTGAGGAACTGTGTCAAAGGCCTTCTTGCAGTCCAAGAAGATGCAATCAACCCACCCCTCTCTCTCTTGTCTTACTTCTGTTATTTTATCATAAAACTCCAGAAGGTTTGTGACACAGGATTTGCCTTCCGTGAATCCGTGCTGGTTGGCATTTATACTCCTGTTCCGTTCCAGGTGCTCCACCACTCTCCTCCTGATGATCTGTGTGAGGGTGTGTGTGTGTGGGTGTTGGTGTGTGTGTGTGTGGGTGTGTGTGTGTGTGTGGGTGTGTGTGTGTGGGTGTGCGTCCTTGTGTGTATGCATATATTTGTACGCTCGTGTGCACATGTCCGTGCGTGCGCCCTCGTGTGTGTATGTGCGCGCGCGCGCTAGTGTGGGTGTATGATCCACTTAATATTTGTATTTATAACTCATTACAATTGTGACCAGGTGTGGACGTATCAGTGGTTCATTACTTTGTAATTTGTTCATGACTGTAACCATGTATAGGAGTGAAGCTGATTCATTACCTCTGTAACTTGCCATGATTAGTGACCAGATCTACCTGGAGTTCATTACCTTTGTAACTAGTTCAGCTATCATAACTTTGGGGTCCAGTCACTGGAACCCATTATGTACCTTTGTAATCTTTTTACTACCGCCCACAGGATGGGTATGGGGTGCATAAAGATATTAAACTAAAGTGTGTGTGTGTGTGTGTGTGTGTGGTGTGTGTGTGTGTGTGTGTGTGTGTGTGTGTGTGGTGTTGGGGGTTGACTCAACAATCAATATTTGCACCAATAACTCATTACAGTTGTGACCGGGTGTGGAAGTGTGAATTGCTCATACTCTATAATTTGTTCATGATTGTAGCCAAAGTATAAACGTAAGTAACCATTCTACAGAATTCATTACCTTTGTAACTTGTGAGCTCATTACCTTTGTACCTAGTTCAGCTATCAAAACTTTGGGGGCCCAGTCCCTGGACCCATTACGTACCTCTGTAATCTGTAAATACCTTTTTAACTTGTCATGATTGTGACCAGACTTACCTGGAGTTCATTACCTTTGTAAATTGTGAGTTCATTACCTTTGTAAATTTTTGGTTCATTACCTTTGTAAATTGTGATTCATTTCCCTTTTTA